TGGAGATGTCCCCTATGTAAAAAGAAACTCTTCACTATTTAGGTTGATGCGTATCAATATGCGATCTTGAACACAATCAAAAAGTGTGATATCTAAGTGAATGAAATCACTTTCGACAACAATGGACAAATAGTCAATGAGAACATTCAAAAACTGCTCTGTTTAGACAATCTGCCCAACTATGCCATTAAGAATGACAACCGTATGATAAACTTAGAGATGCTGTCCAATGAAACCAACAACATCTTCTATAAGTTGTAGATATATCAAAAACAAGGAGTCTGTTCAACCCACCCGTTTATTCAAACACCCTTATAAAATGTAATTAATAATATGATGTTGTCGTCCAATCAACATCTCAGGAGCAATAGTTATGCGAACTTCTATGCCAATAATTATTACATAAATTAAATGAAGATACAATAATAAGCAAGAATGGAAGAACAACAAAAACTATAAACAAACAAATCTAAGATTGGACAAAATCATGACTCAGCCATTATTATAGAATGAGTATATCTATATTTTTTATTTAATCAAATTAATTTCCACTCAATCCTCTAAGAATGTGATGGCTGCTGCATAACTCACTGATGAATCCTTCTTGTCTCTCACCAAACAAGATTGTGCATATCTAATGAACTTAGTCTCCATCATATGCGTGTTCTAACTCATTGCTATGCACTTTCAACATAGATTATTTACAATTACATGTAATAATATGGCAATGCAATGTTTCCCACAAACATTGTTCTCATATTCTCTCAAATAATCATTGAACTTATCCAAATCATGTAACTCTATGTGTTCCATTGCCTTCTAATCTAATTTTTCAAATGGATTCAAAATATCTCTCCATCTGCACTGTTGTAATAAGTGTAAGCGAACTTAGTTCCCCAATGACAGAAGTCAGTTGATATAATAAATAGAGTATCATCCATATCGAAATATTCACTTAGCAATTTTCCATAATACTCTTCAGATTTAGCATCAATAGATCCAACCATTATTGGGATGATCGTAAAGTTATCAGTACCCAAAATATGAGCTAAGAATGGCAATTGCATTTCAATTGAGTGTTCTTCCTCCTCTGCATCCTTGTCTGATTATTCGAATAATCCTTGTTCATGCAATTGTTTTACAGCTAAATGTGATCACCAATTACTTACTTTCCAGATCTACTTTGATGTTCCCGAGAGGAGTTTCGTATATTTCTTATCTAGTTAAACAACATTAAGTTATGTAAACATAATGACAGGGACCAAGGATGAACACCTTCAATTTTTCAGAAGGAGGGTACTTCTTCAAGTATTTGTAACTGAATGCTGCAGTTGGACCAGAGTAGGCATAACCTGCATGGCTTAATTTAATGAGAAATGCATTACGGAACAACCAAGGCTTTCAATTAGGCTACTGTGGTCACTTCTGCCTTTGCCTACTCTAACCAACAATTAATCTGTATCTTTAATTCATTGCTCTTGCTTGAATACCAGGATCCTGCATGTACAGCCTCCCTCACATTGTATTTATTATTTAGCATATGCACATATGGGATTTGCTATAATTATTCCTCTGTCTTATTCCCTTATTGTAAAACTTCACTCTTTTGTTGTTGTTCCTCCTCCTTCTATTGTAACTCTTACGATTCTTCTTCTGATTGTTCAGACATAATTAATAATCTACCAATATGTCCAAAGAATAAGAATTACAAACCAAAATTAAAAGCCTCGAAGATGACATTCAAAATAGACATAGACAAATAGTATCACTTACTGATAAAGTAGAAGAATTGCAACGATCCATCTAAAACAATTCAGAAGTAGACATCGAATCATAATTGCTTAGGTAGTGGAACTTGGAGAGAAGGTGAGAATGCTTGAATCTCAAAACCTTAAACTCATAGAAAAGAATCAAAGTGATGTTGTGGAATGGCGATCGAAAGAAAGAGATTTCAATGTACATCTTAATCCTATTCAAGAATCAAATCCAAGCACTCCAACGCAAATTGAATGAAGTCGAAGTTCAACTGACTGAGGCTAAGGATCTCAATTAACAACTCATTGCTAAGTCTGGAGAAAACAGCAATTCTGAATCGCAGTTACAATAAATCACCTAGCATTATGAACATCTTCTCAGCGAAAAAGATGCTTAACTCAAAGAGAGAGATACTAAGATCTACAATCACGAATAAATGATTCCACAATTGCAGAAAGACTTAGAAGAAAGAGATTAATCAATCAAATCATTGAATGAACAATTAAAAAGCCAAAAATAGCAATTGTCTCTATTGACTCAATAGAATGGCAATCTTAACACTCTTACTACTGAACTCAATAATTTAAAACTACTAAAAGACAATTTGCTGAATGATAATTAAACACTCAACTCTTAACTCCTATAACTAAACACTACCAACGCTGACTTATTAAATACACTCAAACTTACAGAAGATCAAAACAAAGCCAATTCTAAGCAAATCCTTGATCTTTAGAATGAATTG